GCACTGGTATTCGTCACCGCTTTCCAATTCGAACTTAAACATCTTTGTTTATCGCTTTAAGTTTTATAAGCCCGTCTTTGTGGGTGCTGTTGAAAGTATACATACATACGTTTATAAATGTATTATTATACATATCCATAGACGTGAATTCTGTTTTATTCTTGTTTGTCGGCACCTGAGCACGTGCCGGGGAAACTTACAAACATTTTTTTGAAGGTTGCGCCGGTAAAATGTTTTTGTTGAAGACACGTTAATCGAAGTGTTGTCGCATGGAAGCTTCTAAATGCAGTCAAAACATTATTTAATATAAATTCATACATCCAAATATATATACATATTTAGTGAAAGAAGAATGTATTCTCACGAAATTTAAGAAATTTCCTGGTTAATAGATTTGTTCGAGCTACCTTCGGAAATATACATATGTATGTATCAGGGATGTTGCGAATGTTTGCATTCGCATTCGTTATACGAATGATTCCGATCATTTTACACATTCGCATTTGCAACCAATGATACGAATGTTTTGCGAATGCGTACATGGGCATGTGAATGCCAAGTTTCAAATAAATTTGGTAGCTGCTATAAAATCTACCGCTAAGACTTTGTTGCTTTTTCCATTTTTCCTAATTGAATAACTCAGTGTTGTTGCTTTTTCCATTTTTCCTAATTGAATAACTCAGTGTGAAGGCAGGATAAATGTATTTGCATAAAAATTTATTAAAGTAAAAAAGTTTTGGGTAGGCGTCGAGGCCGATGATAACCACCAGTTACCACCTCTGCATGGTTGTAAGTCATGCGGAGTCCCTCCGCCTTGTAGCGCTGTGGCTTTGCCGCTTAAACTCTGTAAGAGTGTTTGGGGGTGTGCGTCAAGCGGATTGTTGAGGACCGGTTATTTATTTAAGTTCAAAAATTGGGCAGGCGCTGTGGCCAATGGTAGCTCTTGTACCACTTCTGTATGCCGAAGGCAATACAGAGCCCCGAGAGACAACTCCGAGAGAGTTGTGATGCATCAAGCAAGTTTGTTGAGCATCGGTTATTTATTCAAGTTAAAAAATTGGGTAGGCGCTGTGGCCAATGGTAGCTCTTGTACCACTTCTGTATGCCGAAGGCAATACAGAGCCCCGAGAGACAACTCCGAGAGAGTTGTGATGCATCAAGCAAGTTTGTTGAGCATCGGTTATTTATTCAAGTTAAAAAATTGGGTAGGCGCTGTGGCCAATGGTAGCTCTTGTACCACTTCTGTATGCCGAAGGCAATACAGAGCCCCGAGAGACAACTCCGAGAGAGTTGTGATGCATCAAGCAAGTTTGTTGAGCATCGGTTATTTATTCAAGTTAAAAAATTGGGTAGGCGCTGTGGCCAATGGTAGCTCTTTACCACCTCTGTATGCTGAAAGTCATACAGAGCCCCAACAGCTTGTAGCGCTTTTGTTTTTGGTGATGCATCAAGCGAGACTGTTGAGCATGATTTGGGGTGCCAGCAATTAACTACTTTAGTAGGTTTGTTCTGCGGCAGTTGAGAAGTGCATCAAAAAATGCATACCCAATGAAGAACGAGCGAATTATTTTTAAACACAAGTGCGTGTGTTTATTCGCTGCACTTGGTTTTGGGCGGGAGCGCATGTTCGCTGTTCTTTGTTTATGCGGGAAATGCATAAGTCGCTTAAATACTAATAAAATAATCGTGGTACAAAGCTCAATAAAAATATCAAAATCAATTTGGTTACTTCTCGACTTTTGGCCAGCAAATGATAGTCGCCAGACTAGTGCACTGTATAGGTTACGCACCCGCACTAATTTACAAAATTTTGTATTAATAAAAACGGTGACTTAAGTCGATAATAGCTTTTTTAATGTTACTCCTAACATTCGCATTCGTATTCGCGTTCGCAAATTTGCATTCCGAAAATTCGCAATCGCGAATGAGAAAAATATGATATTCGAAACATCCCTAATATGTATGTAAGGGCCAGTTTTTCAGAGCACGCCGCGGTTTAAACTTAGAACAACCAATCAAATGTCAGCCAGCTGTTCAATTTAAACTCAGTTTACTTAATCTAAGTTTAAACAGGCACTGAAAAACTGGCCCTAAGAGGCGTTTTCTTCAAAAAATTACCGCATTTGTATATACATATATTTATGTACATTGGAGTGGTCCAAAAATGCATGTGAAAAAGTAAAGTCGGAATTTTAATGCCGCCACCCCGTACGAATACCGAAAAAAATATAGCCCTATTTTTTTATTTTAAAATAAAAAAAAATTGAGGAGTGCTCAAAGCGCTCAAAGTTTTACATGTATTTGATATAGGGGAAAAACAACTTTGCGTAGAAATGGTATAGAATTCTTGAAGATTTTCAAAAGTGGGATGTTAAATTAAAGCTCTTGGCCTTGTGGATGTGCTTATTTTTTTTCGAAAACTGCTGCTGCCTTAAAAAGTTGCATTCAAATCATTTAATAATCAATCAATCCATACCGTTCGTTCGATTGTCAATAATGAGGTATCAAATTAAAGGGATTGACCTGTTGATGTGCAAAAGAAGGTTTTATTTTTTCAAAAGGAGATGCCACCTCTAAAAAAATTAGATTGAAATGATTTAATAAGTTAAATCAACTATTACAATATGGGTATCAATTGGAAAGGTTTTTAAAGTGCTTTATTTCTTAACCTCATGTAGAAGGGTTGCCACCTGTTCAAAACAAATCAAATTCAATACGAATTAAGGGAATTAGGTAATTGAAATATGTATAACCTTACGAGTGCCAGATGAAAGAGAGTTACCGAGAGATATTACAGTTTGAAAACAGTTTGGAAGAGGGCTGCCATTTGTTTTAAAAGCCGAATTTGGTTCACATATACACAAGTTGTTTGAATTATGTATAACGAAAGAGTGCTAAAAAATCTGTACGCAGTTTGAACATTAGGCTTTTTTTGAGGTTTTGAGAAGGGTTTCCAGCTGTAGAAAAGATTAAATTCAAATTAATTAATAAGTTAAATATATTAATTACAGGATTTATTTGTGATCTGCAGTTAGGAGACTTGTCACGTGGTTAAAAAATCATATTCAATTTAATTCATTAGCTAATTGAATTATGTATCGTAATATCAGACGATTTTAGTTTGAAAATACTTCTAAAAAGGATTGTCAGCTGTTTGAAATGTCCAATTTATTAAAGTTATGCACAAGTTAAAATACAATCGCCGTTCGGGGTCGGCGTAAAACTGTAGGTCCCTCCCCTTTGTGAGACAACATCCAGGCGCACGCCACAAATCGGAGATGAAGCTGGGCCAAACAGTAACATAAGTGTAAGCGCCAATCTATTATTATTATACAGAAGTTAAATGAAATGTTAAAATATGAGTGTCAAACGAAAGGTTTTGAAAGAATTTACTTTGAAAATATTTTTTGTTAGGATTGCCACCTATTCGAAAAGTAATATCCATCTTACTATATACATATGTATATTAAGCGTGGTCCATACAGTGTTTTTTTTTTAATCGTGTTTTATTTGACAGTAACAGCTCTTTCCCGCTGGAAATTTTGATAGTAAGTCAGTATCATAACTCCGCGGAACGAAATGATCGCTTTACGTTTGAACAATGTTAGGAGTAAAGCAAACGAAATGGACAACGATTTTGCTCGAAAAATTTTCCTTTCTAACGAAGCGCAATTTCATCTCGCCGGTTGTGTTGACAAACAAACAAAACGCATATACGGATCGGAAAACCCGCACGTGATCGTGTGCCACTTCGGTCAGCGCTACAGAGGAATGATAAACGAGTTTTTAAGCCGAAAATTGAAGACGCGGACTTAGACGATCTTTGGTTTCAGCAGGATGGCGCGCCATGCCACAATCCAGCTTTTGTGTGCCAATTTCGGTAATCGTGTTATCAGCCGTCTTCGGCGATGTACGTTGGCCACCTCGGCCAATTTCTATAAGATAGCCGAATGTCAAGAAAATAAGCCGAGAAAGCTGTTTTATTACTTCACCTCTTTACAATTTCACCAGAAGACTATCTTCTGCCAAGATATATGCTAACAATATATACATACATAAGAATATCAAAACGCACACGATAAATTGGAGGATAAGGTCGGTCAAACACTTAGAAAATGTTTAAGCTCCAAAATAATAATATTATTATTAGAAATAAGGCGGAATTATGGGCGTGTTCTGTCATGAGCACTCCATCAACAATAAGTTTATGGTGCTAGATTCCTATAAGTGTTTTTAAGGAGGACTATCTGCCATTACGAAAGCATTCCCTACACTATTCAAAAATTTATTACGTGAACGCATAAGATTTCATTTCAAAATACTTGTAGAACAGAGTACATCTCTCCTTTCTGTGGTGCTTGCTGATCAATACATTGCAGACGTTACTTATCTCCTACGGTTAGTGATAAGCTGTATCCACAAGCGATTCATCTCCACGAATGTGTCGCCCGCGATGACTGAGAGCTAAAAAAGACGAGGGGTAAGGGAGGTCAGCGTCTACTCTTCCCACTATAGACAAGAGTAATATTGCGGTAAACTTCGTATCTCACTAGTTGACGAGAAATGGTTCTCGAGAAATGCCATTTCCTTCCAGATCAATCTGAATCTCAGCGGTGGCCAAAGGACTTCCTAGCATAGCTCTCGGTTTTAGTGGTGGTTCTGATGTTGAGACTAAATATCTTATAAGATTTTTACTGCTACATTTGCCTGAGGATGATGAGGTGGGATTACCTCAATCTGAGGAACTCTTCGGGCTTATCTTGGCCTGGAAGTTCTGCATTTGTATCAGTGTTATCCATTCAAAAATTACCCTTGAAAACTGGGCATTGGGGTACTTCAACCAAACCCCGACCTGACGATTTTATTTTCTTATAAATATTTTATTAAACAATGTTTTATGCGCTCCATTTTTTTATTTTAAAATGAAAGTGCTTAAAATGCTAAATGTTATAAAAAAAGATACATATATAAAAAATGTTTATTCTAATTTTTTATGTAGACATATAAAAAAGTAAATAATTTTCATATCTCTGAGAATAAATAAAGTAATTAATTTTTAAGTGTTACTTCGTTGAACTTATCAGAGGATGTCAGCTGATCATTCGATTTTTTCTTTATTCTTTAGAAGTTAACACTATCTCAAGTAAAAATTTAATTTTATTGCTCATTCATTGCCAATGCGGAGCGATATAAATACTCGAAATCTCTAATATGTGGTGGCGCAGCATAATAGGGATATTTCGCATTCACTTTTGCTTCGTAAAGTCGTTCAGGATTGCTGTTTCGATGAGATGAGCTTATGTGCGAGACTCGAGTTCCGTCTAAAAGAAACATTGGCGACGAGTCTGGAAGGGTTTCAACTGGCGTTGGTATTGCAGATAGCGGTGCATATTGTATGGATCCAGCAGTTATGGGTTCATTATTTGACTGATCAAGCGCAGACGTAGCTGCATGGCTATTTTGAGTGACAACCGTAGATTGTGTGGTATAAATATGCTCGCTCATTCTCAGTGGCTGTAGAGGCTGTGGTGTTGTGGCGAAATGTTGGAAAATTGTTTGAATTTCTTTGTCATGCTGATGACGGGAGTCTGTTATGACAGAGCTAGCACTGTTCATGTTCGATTGATCCTCAAGCGTTGAGCGGTCTATTTGCGAACTAAATGTAGATAGTTTGCTACTCTCAGCTCTTTCAGGCAATTTGTTGTGCTTGCACTTTTTAGGCTTCAATTGATGGTCATTGTCGCGTGATTCAGCTAACATAGCATCTTGCTGGATTTTCGATTTGCGCATACCGACTAGCTTTTTGCTCCCTTTACTCTTATCCTTTGATTGAAAGATAACAAACTTAATCTTCTTATCATCTGACGACACTGGAGCCTCGGTCTGCTCTGTCATTTGCTGCAGCTCTGCTTTCTTTGGCGTTTGAGTGGTTGACTGCTCTTGCTGCGTTTTCGGTTTTTTTGCAGCCTGCTCATAACGTCTGAGACTCTCATAGTAACCGGGTTGGTCCGCTGTGATGATTTCAATTGGCTCATCAGCATTTAATATTTGATATTGTGGCGTGCCCAGTTCGTAGGTGACTGCATCTCCTTGCCGAACTTCATTCCTTAAGTCTTTCCACGATAGAAACGAGGTATCATTCAGCTGTTCTTGATCAACATAGGTGTATGCATTTTCGCTGTTTGCGCTGCTGATTAGAATCACCGACACAACAATTAATGCTAATACGCCTGACGACATCTTGCAACTGAAATGTGGCAACTTGAAATAATTAAATGGCCCCTTATGCTTTTGTGCAAAAACGTGCGAAATCCAAGAGAATGGGAGTAGTGAAAAAGTAACAAAAAGGTTATGTAGATCTTTGCTCTGTAGATAAGCAAATAAGTTGTGCATTTGTATAGATCTACATTGTAGGTATATACTACGCATCATGGAAGTGGAAAAAAAAACCCGGAATTCTGTTGTAATTTTTATTATGTACCCAATGTTTTTTCCAGAAATAGCGAATTTGAAGCGCAAAATAAATATAGCAAGCGTATACTATACATACATACCAACATATTTATCTACTTATTTATGCGGGCATTCAAAAAACGTTTTGGCAAAAAATAATCAGAAAAAGTTTCAAGTTCATGTGCATTCATATTCGTATGTATGTAACGTATGCATATACGAGGGATATTTGATAAGTCATCACTTTTTGAATAAAATTTTGATGTAAAACGTCTTTGCGTTCGCTTGAGAGAAAATGTAAGCATCGATGTATCAGAAAAGCGACCAACTCGTTGGGCTCTAATTTCAAACGAAAAACTGACAGTCGACTAAGATTAAGATTAGATCGATATTGAGATTAAGATCAAAGTAACTGTTCAATATTATGCAAAAAAAAAAATACTAATACACTCCTCGTCATTTGAATAGCACGCCCTTTTAATCCATAGTATTTACAGTTTTCCTTTTGTTTATCTAATACTCATTAATTTTTTATAAATATATAGCATATTCGGCCGCTGTGGTGTAGTGGTAAGCAGTGCGCGCTTCCACTCCGCAGGACCCGAGTTCAAACCCTGGTCAAAGCAACATCGCAAAAAATTTAGAAAAAAGGTTTTTTCTTAACAGCGGTCGTCCGTCGGCAGGCAATGCCAAACCTCCGATCGTATTTCTGCCATGAAAAACAGCTTCTCATAAAAATACAATCGCCGTTCGGAGTCGGCGTGAAACTGTAGGTCCCTTCGCCTTGTGTGACAATATCAAGGCGCACGCCACAAGTCGGAGGAGAAGCTCGGCCAAACACTAACATATGTGTAAGCGCCAATCTATTATTATTATTATTATTATTATAGCATATTCTACGTTTCAATCTGATTTTAAAATTTTATTCTGTTTAAAAAAGTTAACAAAGGCGGCGCTGTGCTAATGACCTGCAGTGAATAAATTAATAATATTTTTAGAAAAATTTCGGATATGCAGTTTTGTAGTCAATTTTTTGATAATAGTGTAATAAAGTGCAAGTTTCAAGTGGCTGTAAAATAGCGTTGATTTTGAAAAAAAAAACATTTATTGGCTGTGCTGCACATTTTCTTCCATATAAAAATTTCCTCCAGCTAAATTTATATAGAAGAAAATACATCGCACTGTCAAAAAAAAATTTCAAAACTCAATTATACTAAAATTGCATGGGGAACAAAACTGCACACCCGAAATCACAGTTGGTGATTAGGACAGCGCACCCATTTGTCGGGGTTTCGTTTTTTTAATTTGTAAAATATTAACAAAATTGGATTTGGATAGTTTTTATTGTATGAGCTATATTTTTATAAAAAATTATGAATGTTAAAGAAACAAACTGTAAGGCTTAAGCTTTCTTCTTTCGAAAAGAGTAGCCACTTCTTAAAAACCGATTAATTTATTTAATAAGTTAAATCAATTAATAAGTATGGGTCTCAATCGAAATGGTTTTGAAAAAGCTTTATTTTTTAACTACATTAAAAAATCAAATTCAATTTAAACTAAGCCACATAGATAATTTAAAACGGTTATACTTTGAAAATATTTTAAAGAAGGTGTTTTAAAAGTGGAATTTCACTTAATTATGCAAAAGTTATATGAAATATCAAAACATGGGTGTCAAACGAAAGAGTGTTAAGAAATCTTTAGTTTGAGAATTAATACTATTTTCGAGGTGACTGAATAGGGTTGCCACATGTTTAGAAAGTTAAATTTAAAGTATTGAATATGTTTAATAAATTATTAAGAGACTGGTATCAATCGAAATGGATTTGAGTGTTGCCACATGCCTAAAAATCAAATTTAACTTGAATTGCGGCAATTTGGTAATTGAAATACATACATATGTATATGTATCAAAATATGGATGTCAAACCAAAGAGGTAGGAGATAGGTTTCGGTTGAAAAGATTTGAACAGGGTTGGCACGTGTTTGAAAAGAGGAATTTAATTAAATTATACAAAAGTTATATGAAATATTAAAATATGGGTGTCAAACGAAAGACTGGTAAGAAATCTATTGAATTCAATTTTTAAACAAGTGTAAATCCTATTCATGAAACTTAACCCTTTAATTTGGCAACTTATTTTCGAAAATCGAATGATACAGATCTGACAACCTGAGGCAGGATTATGTAATTGTGATAAAATGCAATGTGCACTGGGTGCAAAACTCACAGCCAAAAACTCACCGATTAAATGCTCTGCGTGTACACAATTTCGACAGTTAAATTTCACTCTCACACTTCCATAATACATATATATTGGGATGTGAGCTAAGAAAAAGGTGCATGCATTATTGAGCTGACAAAGTGATTTGACACCATTACCTCAGTTATCAAAATAATGTACACGGGTAACTGAAGACATGTTGCAGATAAAGTTGAGATACAAAATCATACGCATTGCCATTTTGTCGCCTGCTATAATTTATTTTCTTGAAGATTAAGGTGTTTGCTTCGATATTAGAATATCGTAAACAACAATCTTTAGTTTACATTTTATGTTGAAATCTCATCGTGATATTTATTCTTATTGATATCTTATTTCAGAACTTCTAAACGAATTTATGTACATTAGGGTGGTTTTTAAAAATCAAATGAGCACAGGGGCCAAAGTTCAGATTCCTCTATAGAGAATCAAAAAATTATAATAATTATAATTATTAATTATTAATTTTTTACCAACTCCGTATTCGAAGAAATAACATAAAAATTATGGTATCGATTGAAGTCGGTTTAAAGTGTGTTTGCATTGTTCAACTTTGCGTTCAACATTTGCGTTCAACTCGGCGCAGGGTTGCACGAAAAAAAAGTTGAATGGCTAAAAATATCAAAATATGAAAAAATATCAAAATATTCGCCATAAAAAGGTGTTTGCATTGTTCAACTTTGCATTCAACTTTTGGTTGAATGGCCTTTCAACTAATCGCTTTCAACAAAGTTGGTCGCCAGCCAACATTTAGCCATTCAACTTTTTTTTCGTGCAACCCTGCGTTGAGTTGAACGCAATTGTTGAACGCAAAGTTGAATAATGCAAACACTGCTTTAGAGCTCTCCATAGGGTAATCTGAATTTTGACCCCTGTGCGCCACGTAGGGGTTGAGGCTTAGGAAATATGACGTAAACATTTGCTTCCTACATTTAAGGACCACCCTAATGTACATACCTGAAATGCATATGAACTCATTGTATGTATAAGACCCAGCAGGAAGATCTGAACAAAGTTGAAAAGTAAAAAAAAAAAATCTGATGTGTGGCAAGTTTTTACGCGTCGAGGATGCCAAACTACATATCACACACGATCCTCGAAGGTGACACAACTCAAAATTGCGGGTTTTTTGGAAAATGAGAAAAACTATTTCTTAGCACATGCTAATCATATTTTCAAGGGAGACAATACTTTGGTTTTTTTCAACAAATTATAACAAAAATTTTCTCCAGCTTTTACCGAAAGGTAAATAAAAGTTCTGTGTGCATTTTTGGCGCATAATTTCAAGAATGCCAAATTTTGAATTGTGTCGCTTTTGAAAAAAAATGAGTATTCGCATAAAAAAACTGGGCAAAATTATTTTATGTGTTTTTCTACTCAGTAATTAAATAAAACATGAAACTTAATCATAATTAGGGGTTTATTACTAATAACCAGGGAACGGATTTTATGGAAATTGCCTTTTTTTCTCCTGAAGAGATAGAGTATATTCGATTAAGAATGTCAACGATTTAGCTTTCCCTGATTCCATATATACACATTTGATGTTGCCTTTTTTTGCCTTTTTTAAGATGCCCATGCGGCTTATAGAAGCGCAGGGACCTCCTGCCAAATTGGTGTTGGAAAAATTCAAAGCCGTTTTCTCAGCTAACGCAGGCTTGGAGACAATAAGGGGTGTGGATAAAATTGTAAAGGGCAAGGAAAACGCCCTTATTCCTGATAATATGAACGTTTCAAACGTTCCATATTTAAATTGGGCGCCGCTTGTATCAACTTACGTCGAGCACACATTTAGTATATTCAAGGCTTTTCTTCGCGAAAATCGAATGAAAATACGGCCAGAAAACTTCAAAATGCATCTTGTGGTTCAACGTTACCACAACTATACAGATTAAAGTTTTATGAGTTAGAAACTCGAAAGGATAAAATAGTCAAAGATTCAAAGTACAAATTTTTCATATAATGAAACCAGTTCATAGTTTTTCTCTTTTTACTTGTAATATAAACATTTCTAAAATAAATGTATTTTTTGATTGTTCTTCGTATTTTCTGTCTTTTTTTAGTGCCTTATTTTGCTTTTATTTGCAATACTTAGTGCCTTTTCCTGCCTTTTTCGCTATTTTATTTTGCCTTTTCCAGCCTATTTCGTTATTTTATTTTTCTTTTTTTATAGGTTTTTAGGTCTTAAAAATCCATTCCCTGCTAATAACACTTATCTTAGGATAATTTTCGTGAAATATTTAGTTATATTCAGTTACCATAAAGGTATCCACGCACCTACGCGATTCTGTCGGTGCGAATCTGTTCCGACAAAAATTACAACAATGCCGACCATAGTTTTAAATGAGGAACCACACACTTATACAATTTTGCTGCAGCGATTTATTCGAACATTCACAGTTCTTCTTTTGGTCGTGCCGAAATCGCAGACTGCCGCGTTTTGAGAACGGAAAAGGTCAATAGAAGGATTTTACAATATTAAAACAAAATTGAACGTAAGAGAACATAACATATTTGATGTAGAAAAGTTAAGAATTTTATTTTTGTTGAAAAATACTTTTCGTTTGTCTATAAATTGACAATTGCGTACTTGCTTTTACGAAGCAGTAACGTCTGTAGCATCAAAAACGGTGCGGATTCGTTGCGACAGAATCGCATAGGTGTGTGGATGCCTTAAGTATACAAAAATCTTTTTCAGAAAAAGACAATAACGGAATTCGTTTTGCTAGAACATATTTATGTCGACGAGTTCGGATATGCACTTCGTCCTTTTAGATCGGATCTTGATTGCGAATAACTGCGAATTGTGCAAAATTTTTCGTTACTTAAGTTTTGATGCATTTTGAATTTCATTCAAATAAATAACTTAAAAATAAAAAAAGGAATGCGGTAAATTGTTCTAAGGACACAATCGTTCCTGCCGAAACCAATTAGAGAGCATGTTTGTCCAGTTTCATAGTCCTTCAAAGGATTTTAAGAAAACTATCACAACAGTGACTGTTTTCAGGTTGACATACATACATATGTCAAAGGGAAAGCAGCGAAGGGAGTTTTCATGGCTACCATTCAACAGATTAGTTATTTAGCTTTAGGAATAGTATATTTTACTGGACTTTTGCAGCATTTGATAAATCTGACTTTTGACCGGTTTTTCTGCATAAATCCTCCTAGGTGTAGGTAAATTGTATAGCTAGATATTCAAATTTTTAGGGAAGTATGTCTTGACCCCATGGATATATACACCCCAATTCTGCAACTCTTTCGTATTCGGATTTTGCTACGAATCGTAGAAATAACTAGTATGCTGTAATCCGAATTGTATTTTCGAACTTTCGAAATTCGTAACAATGGCATGCCTAAAAACGAACGAGTAAGCTTTTTTGCGTAATTTTGTACGAAAACAATTCTATGTTGGCGGCGAGATGAAAGATATAAATCGATGTGTGTTTGTACTAAATATTAATGGGGTTCATTTAAACAGATAAATTTGCTCTTCGCATATACGTATATTTTTATCCACCGCTTTATATAAACGAGCAAAAATGAATCTTTGTTGCCTCTTATCGAGAAACTTAGGTCCGGTTTAGTTATTTGTACAATGATTTTCGGTTGTTGTGTCCAAACGCATAATCCGAATCCAAAAACTTTAACATCACGTGTAATCAAAATTTTATTTAAAATAAACGTTTCAAATTTCCGAGCACGTATAAAGTGATTTTATGTATTTTTCTTGCTTTACAAAAACAAAAGAAATTTGTACATACTTCACGCTACAACTTTTTTTTTTTGAAAAATTTGCTCCATTGGACATTTTTCTGGAGTTATACCCAATTTTATGGTTTCTAACTTTTATCTGGTTGGCTTTTTCGGCAAAATTTCTTTAACAAAGGCGTATTTTATTTGACCAGAAATTTGAGTTATTAGCTTATTTTGTATGGAAGACTTACACAACATAATTATATTGGCTTATGAAAAGCTGTCTTGGCTTGTATATTGAACTGGAGGTATTGCTATTCAGCATCAGAAATTTTCTGCTTCAGCTAATCAGAAAGAGGCAAAAACTTACATTTGCCACTACAACTGTCAAAATTAGGCTAATATAGTAAATAAGCTAATTTCGTTTTATTTGACCAAGATTTAGCGATTAGCTTGTGATGGTTAAATAAAACAAGCCTAAAGTTGTTCAGAACATCTCAGGCCTTGACTTTCGTGAACAGACCAATTTCTAGAAGTAGGTCTTTGACTCTTTTAGGTGGAAAATCCGAAATCATTTTTGGATTTTCCATAGCTAAACGACTGGTAGTTTTTACTTAAATATGTCAAAAATTTAACTTCACATTTGACATCAATGACGAAAAACGCGGTAACAATCACATGACACTAAAATTTTGACGACAGTCTTTGCGATATCTACATTTCGTCAGTTTTTATGATGTATTTGACACCAAGTGAACAGCTGTTAGTTAAGGCAGTTTTTGATGTCAGTACTTTTGATATAATGAAAACCAACAACGATGTATCGATCCATCAACCATTTATGCATTGTATAGCAAAAATTTCGATGAATCGAAACTGAACATCGATATTTTCAATGCATCGATGTTTCTTCGACATTCCGAAAGCAGAAGAACGCATTTAAACTTACTTTACCTGTCCACTGGTCATACATTTTTTATTAGTTCGTCGGTGCCCAGGAATTTTCCTGCAGGGTTGTGACGGACAAGTTTTGCTATCATATACAAAGCGATATTGGTGAACGCAGAATGTGCGTTGCAGGCCAAAACTGGAGCAAGTAGGATTAACATTACTAAGGCATACACACATACGCACCCGCGAATATTTTTATTAAAAAAAAAAAAAAACCAAGCAAAAATTCGCATAGACACGCGCCAAACTTTAAGAAAAAATGTCAAAAAATGCAGGTACTTGAGCGAGAAATAATCATTTATGTAAATTTACTAGCGAATGGATAAATAAAACTAGCTTTTCGCAAAATCTAACACACACAAGCACATTGGAGTGGAACTTACGCATATTTTTATATCCTAAATGAAAATAAGAAATATTTCATATTATATATATAAATATGGTCAATATGGTAAATAGGAAAAAAATGACTGTGCAATAAAAAAATATTAAAAGAAAAACTAATGCGAGTAACCGTATGTACATATGGCTGTATGAATGTGTGCATTCTGTTATGAAATGGAAAAAAGTTCTTGTTTGTTTGGGTGGAGCACTGAGAAGCCAACAACAAAATGGGCATGAAAATTTTGCACAAAGTCCATAGCTGTTATTGCACAAATCCAATATTTGTCGCTTGGTCCACTGACGCTGCATTCAAACCGATTGCAGGCAACCGAAATTTCCAAACCACCAGACATGAACGGTCACACATATAAAAGTTGGCACTTAATTGGCCAGAATCATAGTGCAACGCAAGAGTTCCGCGAGTACAAGCAAGATACGGCAGTACGAGTGCGTAGTTCGAAAAACAGCGGTGCGCATATATAAGTAGCCTTAGAAAAGTCCTAGAAAATCCAAATTATTTTCAAACACATACGAAATGTTCAGTGTGAGTTGAGTTTTTTTTGTTTTGGACAAATTAACGCTTTTTGCTTATCCTTTCATTATCCTTTTTAGTTACTCGGTATATTTGTAATCGGCTTGGGCGCTGCTACCGCCATTGAGTTGGGTCATGCGCCACTGTTGCTCAAGCCGGCACTGGTTAAGACTGTCGAAGTTGAGGCGCCTGCTCAGTACGAGTTCTCTTACTCGGTGCGCGATGATCACACAGGCGACATTAAGAGTCAAACGGAGTCACGGCAAGGCGATGTTGTCAAGGGACAATATTCACTGATCGATGCTGATGGTTATCTGCGCACAGTTGATTACACATCGGATGCTCACAATGGTTTCAATGCGATTGTACGTCGCGATCCGCTCGGCCACAAGGTGGTTAAGGCTATTGCACCTATCGCCAAAGTGCTGTCGCCCATAGGTATTGGGCCAAAATTGCCATTGCTCTCATTGGGTATTCCACGCTAAGTTCAGTTCGCTATTGACTGAAGATCCTTAATTGAGCACCACCACACGAATGTAACAAAGCGACAGCGAATTGATGGACAGAGGATTCGGCGAGTATGTACAGGAATATGGTCGCACAACCAAATCATCAAGACATCATTAAGCCATGTATCATATTCTTTATTTGTAGCAACCAATTTACGGTTGGTTAAACGTATGTACCATTATGTACATACATACGTATGCCTAGATTCTTTAAGATGGAAATATTTTAATGCTCCTACGACAGTCATAAAGTACACGAATACGTATGTATATAGTATCTCTCTTTATTTGATCACACGACACCGCAAACATCACAAATGTCTACACTGACCTTAGATTTACTGCAAGACACAAAACATGAGGTAGGTCCTTGCGACCATCACTCTTCTCACTCATAGTCAGCTCAACGCACTCTAACTCTTACAGCCACACACTACACAGCTTTCTAATCTTTCCCTCTGCGCTCTTTGCGCAGTGCGATATTCTGCACTGGTGATGCCACAAATCTATCTTCCATTTTTTGTTTTTTTTTTCGATTTCGTTCTGACACCATTTAACACAATATCTCCTTAACTGCTGTTAATGTGACTCATTTAACGATTAAACTCTTTCACGTTATTTTATGTTATGTTTACGTTTACAATTGTCAAGTTGCTGTTTAGGAAGCATTTAATGCATTTTGTAATAAAATTGAAATGCAATTATAAAATTAATATTTTACTTATGTGTGTTGATATAGCAGGGATTGCACCTTGAAGACCCGCTACTCCAAATCAGTAAGAATACTGAGTTCAGCCGTTTCGTAAGGAATTTTATCACAAAAATTTGTATGTGATCAAGCTCTTCTTCATTTTTATAAGCTTTTATTTAACTTGGTCATCCCGCGCAAATCGCGGAAATTTCCAATCGATTTTAAACTGACTTCCCGACAAGTTAGAGACTTGAAATTTTCAGCATAGTTCCAATCACGATGACAATGCAATTTAAAATGTAAATGAATTCTCCATATGGTCCAGGGGTCTTGATTCAAAGGCGGTCAAAAAATAGTAAGATTTATGGCTAACAGGGCTTAATTTGCCAAAGAACGTAAAACCACTATAAAATTGTTGAAGCTGCCGGTGCGCCGCGGCGGTAGTGTAGCAAAGCTATTCCTAGTCTAGATATGAACCTCGTTGTAGGCTGCATATCAAGAAGATACAATTAAAAGACTCCAGATGTCGCCCCGCCAGAAGAAGTTAAATATTGCGCCTAAATATATGCCATGCTACAGCGAAATGGACGACACGCCATTTCTTTAAATAAAATTAACTGCTGCTATATGTACATATGTATGTTTATACAAAACGTAAGCAAACAACATTTTGCTTGCCAAGTCTTCTGCTCTCTTTCATTGCAAGTTGAATTATTTTAATATCTATTGCTAAACTTTGTACATAAAATAAAATAACACTTTTTAATATACAACGCTTTTATAAATGGACTAAAAATTACAAAATAAAATAATGTAAAAAAAATATTTTTTTAAAAACAAGCTTTTATTTAACCTGTACAATAAAGTAGTCCAAAAATGTATGTAAAAAAATAAGGTCGTATTTTTAATGCCGCCACCCCCTAGGACCGAAAAAAAATATACCCATATTTTTTTATTTTGAAACCAAAAAATATTTAGGGAGTGCTCAATGCGCACAAAGTTTTCCATGTATTTTATATGGAGAAAAAACAATTTTTCGTAAAAATGGTATAAAACTCTTGAAAATCAATATTTTTCGACCGGAAAACTGTGGTTCGCTACAGGAGATTAATATCCAATTATTTATTTAACCATTTTTTATGATAAAAGATTTTTTATTGGTCNTGAAAAAGTTGTTAAAAAACAATTGGGTATTATTACTGGGAGTCTTCTGAAGATAAGTAAAGTTTTCCGATCGAAAAATATTCATTTGATTGATTGATTCTACGAAAAGATGTTTTTTCTCTATATAAAATACATGGAAAACTTTGAGCGCTTTGAGCACTCCCTAAATATTTTTTGATTTCAAAATAAAAAAATTGGGGTATATTTTTCTCGATATAGATCAATCCTAGGGTGTGCCGGCATTAAAACTCCGACTTTATTTTTTTGGACCACTCTACTGTACAATCAAAGGATAAAACGAAGTAGTGTAACAAAAGATTTTTTATCAAGAAAATTTTGTCAAAACTGCACTAAAATGAATAAAATAAAATAAGTTTAGGTCTCGTTACAGTTACTAAAAGCCATTTAGTGAAAGGAGTTATTCAAACTCGAATGAAACTAGCAATTTGTCTAATTTACTTCGTTTTTAAAAAAGCTTGTCGGCGAATTCAGCGTACATGCATAATTGGTTAGGTATGTATGTATGCAGATATTTAAACAATTTAAATGCCGGTTTGCACCATGGATACCAAAAGTGAAAAATGAGCCGGTTCGGGAAAAATGAAACTCATGATAAGGCTGAATAAGATATCCGGGAACCGGATGAAAAAATTTGGTCGGTTCGGTTCAGCGGTTCGAACCGTTTTTGTACTTTTGGATTGGTTCGACAAAGCGGTTGTTTTGGTCTTTGAATCGGGGCTTAAGTTCGGTTCAATGGTTCGGAAAATAAGAAACGCGCAAGTCTAAATGTAAAGTGTCAAGTGCAACAACGCGGGTTAAATTTCAAGTGTGTGTTAAATGGGATGAGTTGCCCTTACATTTGATATTGCCCCATGGTAAACAAACATGGTATGTATTAACATTTTTAACGAAAAGAAACAAAAGCGGATAAATTTTTCTATTGAAAATTGGTTGAAATGAACCTTTAAACCTTTATGAAAAGTGGTTCGGTTTTCGGATCGGATCAAACATTTGTGGAGATTTTCGGTTCGGTTAATGGTTCAGTTAATTAATAGCAAAAGCGGTTTTCCGGTTCAAAACCGATTCACGTCGCTGGTATAAATACACAAATCTCAAATCGTGAGATCCTTGCTTAAGATTTTTTTGTAATCAACTTTTTGTGGGGTTCTTTTTCTTTTTTGTTTCTTTTCTTCAATAACAGAGCCAAACTTTCCGGTCTTTAGTATTATCCCGCTCTTATTTTCAGCGCGAATAATAAGACCCCGTTCACGTGATGGGAGCTAAACGATCGATGTAAGTATTAGTTTCAAAAGTATCGATACCAAAATTACTTGGTATCGAACGAAAAGTATCGAGTATGTACTTGTATTTACTCGTATCGTTTCATTCCTACCTATAAGGAGTGGCTCGTTATACATACATATATATTCTCCCTCTTTAGAGAATAAAAGCTTCGAGACATTTCTCGATCCCACCTGGGCCAAGTTTGCCTATAAATTCCACAAATCGAAGTTTGCATACATCTCTCGCTCGCGCGAATATATATTTAGTAGATACATTTTCTTAAAAGCAGCTTGCAAGTGGCGAAAAGCATACCAATACATCTTTACCCGGAAGAATGTGCTTGGTCGTACCCCCCTCGCAAGTTCGTCCGCCATACAGTTACCCTCTATACATATTCCAAATGTCTGGGACACCAAATAAGGTTTATACTGTTCTGCTTAGCCATCTCTTGCAGAAATCGGTGGCAGTCCAGCACAATTTTTAAACGACTTCAAAAAAGGAGGAGGTTATAAGTTCGTCGGAATATTATTTATTTTTTTTGTGTTACCGCATATCTTTGAACCACGTTAACCGATTTCTATAATTTTTGGTTTAGCAGAAAGGTAGTACCTCAGAGGTGGTTCCGATCTTTGGGCCATGAAGAAATTAACGGTAATCTTAAATTTTTATATCAGAATTGAAGTCGGTTTTGTTTTTTGTTTAAAACTTACTTGTTGACGTAATTGTGACGGAACTAACAGCTTTAATTGATGTCTGGCTGTCACTGAAAACGAACACCTATTCAGTACGAAGTTCGTTTACAGCCCCCATTATAGCTGAGACCTCAGCCTGGAAGACAGTACAGTAGTTCAGTAGTCGAAATGAACGGCTCAGGGTAAGGCTGCGAAAAATAAGCCCCCTCCAACTACACCAGCCATTTTTGAACCATCTGTGAAAATTACTATCCTACCGGGTGGTGTATAGTAGTTTTCTACCCATTCATCCCTGCTTGGGATTTTTATGACGAAGTTTCTATCCGAAACCGGAGTTTTAATACAACAGTCTGTATAACCCGGAAGAAAGCTATATTTTTTCAGAATGCAGGAGTGACTCAGCAGTCCCGATTCCCATTTTACTACCTCTCTTAACCGAAGTGCAGCAGGAGATGCCATCTGCTCATCCACTGGATCTAGTAGCAGAAGATCCAAAAAGACATTCAAAGCATCATTTGGCGTTGTCCGGATTGCTCCGCTTATGCAGATCCTACTAATCCTTTGTAATTTGCTGATTAGATTAAGATTAGAGACCTTGTCCAAGGGAGGCCAATATACTATAATTCCGTAAGGGAGAATCGGTCTGATCACCGCTGTATAAATCCAGCGGTATATACTGAAGCTCAGCTCCCATTTCTTACCAATGGTCCTCTTGCACAAAATAGGGCCACGAGGTCTTCTTATAGCGTTGGACTATGTTCTCCTTCCGGCTCAGTACAGCTTAAGAGTCGCCCGTTTAGTTCAGGCGGAGTCAGTAACGGTGTCTTGCATCTTCGCGTAAAGAGAAGAAGTTCCACTCCTGCCGAATTAACGCAGAGACCACAACGCGGAAGCCATCTTGATACATCGCGAAGTGCCCCCTGCATCAAGTCGCACAGAGTTTACGGGTACTTGTCCCCCATATGCGATGGCTACGTCAGCCGCATAAGCGACAACGCTTCCCTAATTCGTTTCTCACAAGAGAGAGAGTTCACGGTTAATTTCCAAAGAGCACAGAGTGAGAGCACGCCACCCTGAGGTGTGCCTCTTGTCACATAACGTCGTACCATAGCAAACTAACGAATGTGAAAATTGTAAAAAAATGTTCTTGTCATTAGGAAAAAGTGTGGACCACTTATCTATGCATTTTTGCACATTCGATAGTTTGACATTGAAGCGATGAAACGATGGGTGAAAACTAGCACCTGCGCAATTGCAAGATCCTTCTGGATCAGCGTCGATCATAGGAGCTCCTTACACATGCAAAGCCTCAGCTCTCGCTGTTGGTGAAGGTTTTGACAGGTCAATATGCGATTGAAATTCACGACTTGGTGTTAGAAATCTTGCCTGATCCCTGCCGTAGGATGGTTATGTGGATACATTTTGACTCGCACTTGTAGCCTATCCTCGAGAGCTCTTGGGCATTGAAAATAGCCGCATTCGTCTCCGTTCAGATTTACGTTATTTTACAAAGGACATCTTTCTAAATGTCCCCTGTCTGCGACAATCACCGTAACCTAAAATTTGGTTAATCGAAAATTTACAAGGAACAATTTTTCTCTTTTGAATTCATTTATTTTATGTTTAGAAAGATACTCGTAGATACATTTAGATCATCGCTTTTTCAATCCGTTATTGTTCATCTGTACACACACATACATAATAGTAAAATTAAATTTCGCGAACAAAATTTTTTTATGTTGTATTTATTTATTCATATGAGTATAGCGTCGTCCACATGACATGCGTTAAAAAAGTAGCATAGTTAACGTGGAGTTTTTATTTTATTTTTATTTTTTTAATTACATTGCACTTGCGCACGTCAGGTTGTCTACGAAATTGGTAATAGTTTCAAAATTAGATAGTATGTAGTATAAATTATATAAATAAAAAGTACTAGATAGTAGTAGTAAAGTATTTAAGGCCGAACTCAATTTTTCATAGCCACAAATAAGCACTCGAATTCCTATAAATTTTTTCTCCTCCTAGATCATGTCATGTGGAAAACTGTGTATAAATTTCCTATACGATTTATGCGTATGTAGGTATGTATGCATATGTATTTAGTATGTAGGAAGTAGAGCATGTATACAATATGCTTTAGCATCTTTTTGAACCGAACCAAACTGAACATAATTAACATTTGCGTAAATTTGTGTTTCTGGGTTGCTCTTCAACTTTCCCCGCAGCCTGTGTACATTTTAACGGTGATGTATTGGTATTGGCAATTGACGAATAACCGGCACTTCTCGGTGCACTTGAGCGGTGAAACCCAACAATGGATCAGAATTGTATTCCACAATACGACGCTGGCCATCGGGCTCGATCAACGAATAACGCCCCGTCACATAGTCGCCGTGACGATGCTCAAATTGATCCTTCACATCACCTGTATGGCTATCGTGCACAGAATAATGAAACTCATATTGGGGTGGACTGTGCTCCTCCAATTCGATGGGCAAACCAATTGGGCCGCCATGACCGATAAGGCCAGCATGGATGATGGAGGCGATTGAGCTGAGGGCAACCCAAGTAAGCACATACTGCAATAGAGACGAAAAAGTGTTATTCAAAAACAAACAAAAAATGTGAGTTGCGTAAATTTAACAGGAAACAGCTACTAACTATGGCTTTCATGGTGGCTGCTGGCTTTAATTACGTTTTTAATAATCACACTTTGTAACGAAGAAGGACTACGACTGGTGTTGGCGCTGATGCTGCTGCTGCTGCTACTAACTCAATTGTTTAACTGTATCTAATGCTGTCTGGCCATTCAAGACTTACTTTTATACCTATTTATTGCGTGTGGTCTGCAAGTGAATATGATACTCATGCGCGCGCGCTTGTTGGACACATCTTCCGCTCAATAGGTATGTAGTACTTCATATGATGTTGATAGCCCTTTCGAGGTGGTTGTTGTTGTTGGTGTTGAACTGTCCTATTGAGCTGCATTCAACGCGCCGACGCGTCATTGTCACCGGATCCAGGTATGTTCTCTTAGATTGCCTTTTGATTAGGTAAGTGTGCGAAATTAAAAAAAAAAATATGTATAAAAACTATAACAAGAAATAATAATAAAAATAAAAATTTGATTAGCCTCTTTTCGGCGTGCACCAACAAATACAGGTACATATTTAAAATTATGCAATTACTTATATGAAATATTGTATCCATTAGGGTGCACCCTAAATATGCAGATGAAAAGACGTACATACATATATGTGTATGCCGTAAACCTTCTAGCGTAGAAGACAAAACTTCTCAGGTAAAAAATCATTCAATTTTTCAAGGAACATAGAGTTTTACCTATTGCCATTTGGGCGTATCTGAAACTTTTTGTTCCAATATGAAGTCATGGGGGGCATAGATAGATACATGAAACCCTACCAAATAGTGAAAAGGTGCCAAGTCCAATTTCAAAATTTAGTTGTTGATGCTGAATCCCCCATTGTGCGAAACAACATCGATTTATGACTGTCCTGAACAATTTGCAAAAATGGATTTGGCACCTTTTCATGTTTAGCTAGCAATAAGTAGAGTAAGAACCGCTACCAGTAGGTATATCGTGCACTCAGCTCATCGCAACACTACATCCAGACATAAGGCCTCTATAAATTTTAGAACAGATCAAAGGGGTAGGGAGTGTATTTGCTCTTCTCTTGGCCATATATGTATATCCTATGCACCTCGCCCTTCTCCGTGAAACAGCCTCACACTCTAGAAGAGATGCGCTGATGTCTCTTCGGCGATGCCACAAAAACTATTTATCACTTGACCAGATTCCTAGCTTATGCAAGTGGCTTCTTAGCCTGCAATGGCCTGTCAAAATACTTGTAATAATTCAGTGCCTCTCCTGGGCCTGGTTTATGAGTTACCTACATACATCTCTTACATTACAGCCCTCTAACAGGCTCTTAGGTCGGCGAGGACTCAATTTGGTATTTTCTTTTCTGAGCGCTTCCTTACCGCAGTTAGGGCTCAGGTCCTATCAGGGTCTAGGCAGCAACCATTCTGGCTAACTGATCGCCTTCCTCATTTATTTCGCCTCCCTTGTGCCCTGGCACCCATACATGTTGGATAGCATTGTCCTCAGCAAGAATATTAAGCTTCTCTATGCACTCACTCGACATGACATCAAATTTTCCATTATATTGGGCTTTTAGCTCATAGTCTTTCAGGCTGAGATACTAGCTTTCACAGCCTGCGCCAGGATAAACCTTGAGAGTAACCTCAAGTTACATACTTGTTACCCACCTTCTCTATCATATTCTATGGATTTTTCTCCCCACCGAGGGTGTTTGCCGCTTTTGTGTTGAAGAAGGGAAGGCGTCGGGGCACATTATACGTGATTATCCGGCATTGGCCTCACTAAGGCTGAAATACTTCAGTTCTTCCACAACAAGTCATTGTTGTCATTTAAGACAAAGGGATGCTCTCAAAAGCCAAGTAAATAGTAACACAGATCACGTCGATATCTGTGGCAATTTTCTTTAATGACACCACCAAAGAGTTGCATGGCTTTACTTTACTTCCAACTTTAATTTATTGTGAGGCTCTTTAACGCAAAAAATTGATTGACTTTGACCGAACCTGTAGGCTATTCTGCCTAGGTCTCCGTCAACACATTTATTGATTCGTCATCGTACGAGTCCAAGCGAATTCACATTCCTCACGTAAATTGGAACTGTTGTTGGCAATTTTATAGATTCTTCCGTGAAATCTCTCTTCTCCATGGGGGTGAAATAAAAGAAGGCTGAAGGGGATTTACATTTACATCCTACACTAATGTGCCAACTTTGGTTACAACTGAGGCAGCAGATCACACAGAGTCGAGGATCCATGTGCTATTGGTTTCGGAATCCGTAGACACTTCGGAGCCTACACCGCTAGCAGTAGTGCGTCAACCGATGGCTTTCGAAGCCAATACCCTTGGCGTGCCCAATGGATCCGTCAGAAGTAGGGGTAGGCCGGACTGACTTCTAGCGTGTAGGCTCGGTCCGAGAGTTGATGACTTTTGAACAGCTTGTGGTTCAAATTTTGTTCTCATGAGTGTCGTTGAAATGGAAATTACAACGCGGTAATCCCGAGTAGGTCGATAGGCAACTAGAGTCCGCATACCAGGGGCCAAGCAATCCCATGGGAAGGCATACGTCATCATACGCTGGTCTCCCTTGGAATTGGTGTAATTTATGGAAAGAAGATACACCTCAGAAGGCTGTCCATAAAATGGGTGAGACCTAAGACAAATTAATTACAGCGATTTACCTCTGCTATCATCCGCCCGACTACTATTATGTATTCACCATATTTCCAGAAGCCTCGAACGTGAGTATCGCACGGAAGGTACCTTCAGAGGGCTGATACGCACTAGCGTGGGCTGAAAATCCGATTTTTTAGAATTTTTAATGGTAATAGCAAAAATATGGTTAATTATGCTCTAAAATAAATCGGTGTGAAATGTGAACATCTTTGGTCAATATCCTAAGCTCGCCCAAGTCCATCAAAGTTCAAGTACTAAAAAAAAATTTTCTGAGCTAACTTCGAGTCTACAAAAAAGGTCCATATACCAAATTATGTAGGACTAATACCTTCGAAGATTATTGCAATTTTAGTAAAAATTTATTAATTAACTTATTAATTAATTTTTATTTTTTGGGCATATTGAACTTTGATGGACTTGGGCGAGCCTAGGATATTGACCAAAAAATTCCAAATTTCACACAGATTTTATGTATCGGTTTTTTGTTGAATATTTTATTTACGTGAAATACATTTTTGTTCTTTTATATAAAAATGCAATTTTCCCCAAGGCGAATTCTTATTAGGGGATAGCAGGAGTACAAAAACCAAAAATAAACTCAAAAATTTTACGCACAATGCCCGTAAGAATTACAGAATCACTTTGACATTAAGAACCACCGAGTCGAGTCCATCTGCTCTGGTAACACAATCTTTTATGAATTCGCAATGTTTTGTCCTAATGAGTAAAAACGATCTGATATTGGTTATTTAAAAAAATCTGCCATCTTGTACCGTTTTTTGTAAGTAAAATCTACAAATATTAATTTTTTCGAAGTCCGTGTACTGGTAACCACGTTAACCGATTTCTATAATTTTTTTAAAGGAGAGGCGGTCCAATACTAATTTGGTTTAGATCCGATCATTGGATTATGATGAAATTAACGGTACTCTTAAATTTTTGTATGAGAATTGAAATTTCTTACATACCTACATATTTATTATTGGGTAGAGCTATGATCAGCCATTAATACTCAAAATTGTACGGCTCACCTTAGTGTCTAGTGTACTTTAGGGAGCATCACTCTCCTTCTAAAAAAATGGTTCCTCTGGTCCATCGGAATTATAAAATATTAAACAATTTTTATTGAGCTAGAGGTCGTTTTAAATGAAAAATTATTGTGGAAAAAATAACAATAGTTTATAAATGGTAGAAGTGAAGATGCTATTTCGGAGATATCACATCTCCTCATCAGACTTCTTCATCGCGGTCACTAGGATTCAAACCAGCGACTCCAACTTACAAGTGGTCTACCGACTGCGCTAATTTCGCCTTACAAACTGTTGTTGCTTTTCCACTTTTTCATATGTCAACCAAACCACTATCAGGGGCAGCTATTCTGCTACTATTTAGACTTGATCATGTGATTATTGCGGTTATGGTTTGTCCATAAAACTTATTATATTTTAAGGCTTCAGCAAAAAATATTTCGGAAAAATATTAAAAAATATTTTAAAATACCTCCAAAAATTTAGGTTTTTACAAATAAGTTAAGTTTTTTAAAATAATTGTTCTAAAAAATTACCTCAGATCATTGAACAGCTTAAGCTTAAAACGGTTGCATACCATCTTTTTTTTTTTGATCAATCAATATCACCGATATTTTCGGAGATATTTGCAAAAGGGTCCAGCTCCCGTTAATCTTAAGTTTTATGATTCCGATAAAAACCGTTACTTTTTTTGATGATGCACTCTAATGTACATACATACTAGTATGTATGTTGGTAGGCATACAATATTCCTATTATACAGACAGCAAATCATAAAAGTGCAAGTAAGACAAAATAACAACACACAAAAATATGTACTATAGTACTATCTAACTAAATAATACACATAACAACTAAGTTGTAACTAAGTAATAAAAAAGGAAATGTTGCAGTTACACAGTATGTAGATAGTCGTCTCCGAGGCAAGGGTATCAAATTCGTCTACGAATGCGAAAGTCAGTCAGCTAGTAACTGTCAAGAGTTCGTACTGGTGGCTACTGTTGGTCAGATGGCAAATCAGCTGGTTTTGCAAGTACATACATAAGTACGTACTGAATTTGTTTTTAAAAGTCAAAGTAAACTCGGTGAATTGGTTTAAAGATATCACATTTCGGGGCACAGCCATTCGTAAGGTATATGAAGTGATACAAAACAATATGAGAATTAGGAAATTATGTACAAACATACCTTAAGCTCTTAAGACGTATTCAGGTGTGTGTATGTGTGTGTGCGACTTGAGTCTTTACTTTCAAGTCTACACATACTTTGCATACATGAATATAAAATAGTTTTTTTTTTAATTACATTTTTATTATTACTTTTTATTATTTCTCACGTTTCGAAATTCAGTTAAGTACACATTTATAAATACTTAAAATATATTTTTGTTTACCTAATTCCAATGCATTAACATGTAACGTATTTATATTTACTTATATTGTTAGGCATAAATGTGTACATATGTATGTGGCATATAATTCTGTACAAATTTAAAACATATTCATATGCGGTATCATACAACTTGTTTTTAGATGATAGGGGCATTCAGGCTCAATATGCTATATAGTGCTTATAATAACTATAAGACACCTACTTATTATTTAATTCAAAAATTGTTCTTATAAAAATATAGTTCATTCTATAACAAAAACCACATAAATTTAATTTCCAAACTTTGTATAAAGATAAAAAAACTCAAGGGGCTATCGTCATGAAAATTTAACATTTTTTGTTCAGAATTTTTAGAAAAATTTTGGGTATGCAATTTTAGTAAAATAAAGTGCAAGTTAGTCCAACATACTTCGTATGGAAGAAAACAAGTGACACCGTCAATAAAAAAAAAAATTGCCAAAAATTAATGGTAATTTGGAGTTACCTTAAACCTGCACTTTATTACACTAGAATTGAATGAGATACTGCATACCCATTTTTTCTTTTTTAATGTGAAAATTTTATCAAACTTTGTAAATTTTTTTTTTAATTTTTGTTCAAGGTTTGAAACTTAGATTCAGATGGTGTTTCTTACAGAATGAACTATACTGTTATAAAAAAAAAATTATAAAAATAATTCAAATTAAATAAAAAAAATTGATAGTAAAAATTTGTGAATTCGCGTCATGCATAAAATGTGAGCTTAATCTCAGACTCAACTTTTGCACTGATGGAGTGAGCTTAAGCTCAAGAATTTGTACAGAAAATCGAGTCGGAGCTTAAACTCACTTTTTGTGCATGAGGCCCAAAATTTTAAATTCAATATAAAGCGTTTCGGGGATTTTATAAGCAGTAGTAGTTGAAAGCGTGGCCGAAAATAACGATAAAATACCAAGATTTTTGTTTGCATGTCATTGCAAAATTGTTATTTGTATTTTTTCAATAGTAGTTATATTTCGAATTTTAATTTTTCCGATCATTTTTAACCGTTAGATTGGCGGCGGCAATCTTATAAGCGTTAAAAATACTTTATAATCAAAAAAATCTAGTATGAAAATATCGCTTATGGTAGATCGAAAAAAACCACAAAAAAATAATACAATTAGTCTTGATCGATAAAAAATTAAAGAAACGACAAAATTTGAGAAATTGAAGAAGGGATACACCAACATAATTACTTCTTATGTTGTATTTTTTACTTGGAAATTAATAATCACAAAATTAAACTCAGAACTTTAATCAAAAGAATAAAAGTCCAAAAATAACAATCAAAATTTATCTAAAAAATAAATACATACAAAAAATTTTCAAGAAAGTAAAAATCATACGATAAAATCAACGATTGAATTTGATGAATAAGGAGTACTTCAACATGATTATATTTTAAGTCAGCTCTGATCGAAAAAAATACGAATCCAAAAACAAGATTTGTCTTGATCGAGAGAATTTTAACGGTTAAAATGTGATTTTTATATAAATATCATAGCTGTTACGGTCTTTGGTTGAAACAAATAAATCTGAGAAGACATCAGCTTAAGTGTTGCTGAAAATTTATATAAAAAGTAACACATAATGGTGTTAACTTGCCTAGCTTGAATACGCCTTATAAAGTTTTGCTCCTAACTGCAGCCGCTAAAGAACCAAATAAGTCCGAACACAAATAAGGGAGGGTCCAAAACCAAGCTCGTTTTGTTTTCAAATCGAATACATCCTTTGAACAACATATTGATTCCTTAATTTACCTACAATTAATATTCGAAAGCTTTGTTAGATATTTTATTCCAAATTGAATTCCATACCCACCAGATCTCAGCTTTTATCACCCTAATGCCAGTAAATTAAAGCTCACCAAAAATAATGAAACTTTTGCAAAGGACGTATTTTGAATATTCCAATAGAACTAGAATAGATGTCATCTAAATATGCAAAACAAGAAAAGGCTCCGGGGCCTGTAGGAGTCGAGGCAGCAGCTATTCTAGATAACTGATCAGCTTCCTCATTTTCTTCGATTTCCATATGTTCTAAATATCATTATGCTCATTCAGGGCGTTAAGTTTCACTATACAGGACCAAAGAGCATTTGACATCGAAGGACGATAGAGCTCTCTGTGCCGCCTAACTATCATTTAATATAAGGATCCTCTCAATTCGATAATTCCTACAAAGGTTAATCTCTGCTCACAGAATAATAGCAAAGAGTTTCGCGTGGGAACGAATTTTAAACCTTACACTCCCTTCTACGAACTCAATGGGTTCCCTGTTTACAACCATAAGTTGGCCTTAAAAACATCTGGTATAACAATAAAGACCGTAAACAATTCGAACAATATATGTGTTACCTTCAATAACGACATGTGCATGTGAAAACGGAGCTATCACTAAGAACTGTCCCACAGATTCCACAGAATACTTCTGATTTGGTCGAAACATTATTTTCACAGTGCTCTTATGCCACCGTAGAACTTGCATTACATCTTGCTGAGCATGATTAGGGACACGAATTTCGATACGATACGATACCATATCGATACTTTTGGCATTCGATACCGATATTTTTTAATCGATAGTTTTAAAACGATCCTTTTTGGAATCGAGTACCAGAATCCTAGTATCGTATCGAATGTCATAAACTCAAATTAGTCAGCTTTCAGATACGTCAAGTCTTGCTTTCAAGTCTGCTCGTTCCAAGGCGAAGGAGGTGAAAAGAAAGGGGAAGAGTGCAGATACCTCCCATTTAAAGAACCACGAACTTGAATTCAATAAAAGTTGACGCGTCTGGAAGCAAATAGAAAACACAAAAGATAATGCGAAAAAATTGCTTTCAAGACTTATCTGATTATCAACTCTTCCCGATATAAATTAGGCTTTAAAGAGCAGAAATTTTTTACTACCGTTAGGATTGCATGTGGCGCGGTCTCGGTGTTTTAAGTCAACACCTCAATCTCTACGTGTAAAAATAATAGATTGGCGCTTACAAAATATGTTAGCGTTTGGCCGAACTTCTCCTCCGATTTGTTGCGTCCGCCTTGATGTTGTGCCACAAAGGGCGTTTTTATGAGAAGCCCTGGCAGAAATACGCTCGGAGGTTTCTAATCACTTTTTCTGATATTATTATTTTTTATTTTGGTATCGATATTTGCGATATCTAGTCTTTTTATTCCGATATTAATGGGTACCCGATATTTTTCCAGCGATACTTTAAATGAGTACCATATCGACACTTTCGGTTCGATATCGTGTCCCTAAGCATGATTTTCTTCCGCTGAACTAACAAGCCTTCCAGCAGAAACTCTTTCTAATGCGAAGCATTTCCTATGAATATTAAAAGCCGTTTCATATACTTTAAGGACCAGATTCAACAATTCATATGCCAGCCGCTAGTCACTAACCGGGCGATAACCCTATTCTGTCCGAAGCACATATTTCTAGTGCCTACCAGACAATTTAAAGTTTTTTCAGGAAAGAGTTCTGAATGTAAAAATTATACTATTATTGATTATACACAAAGGCACCTACATATGTTTGGACCACCCTCTTTGTGTGACTTATGGCGTTTTCGTTTCTACCAAAAACGGTTACCTTCTCTTTGCCCTCTACGTACAAATACTAGGAAGAGAGCAATGAAAAGGCAGCATTTTTTGTAGAAACAAAACCGCCATTACTAAGTACTTAAAAGCCTTTTAGCACTCCTTTTATCTTACTTATTAGAAGTTTAGAATCTTTTTTTAATTAAGTTTATCACAGCACAAACATTTGTATGAAAGTTTACTTCACACATCTCATCAACTCCAGTCACTCATCCTTTAACATCTTGCTTAATTGTTGTTGTTGTCGTCTTCCTAATAGTTAAGGTACGTTGTATTCCATTCGGTATGGTTTTTATCGTTAAATCCATTTAGAATTTTTTTTTCAAGCAACGAACCTGTAATGAAAAGAGGGAAAAAGATCAGTATACTCCTGAATAACCACTGGCTATGAGATTGTTTTCATATTTAGGAAAAAGAAAAAGCCCCAAAATCAAATTTAAATTTAAAAGGGGAGAGCTTTAAGCGAAAAAGAGGCCAAGATTTGAAATTTCGCGATAATTCAGTCAGTTTTTGAAGTCACTTTAACAACTAACAACTGCCCTAGGATCAAGTAAGAATTACTTTATTATAAAATTAAATATAAATAAGTGTCATCATGTCACCTTCTAAAAATCCCGCTCTCTTGTTCCAACTTCCTGCCTATTAGTGGTTCTCAGTTGGGTAGCTACAGAACTGGGTGTGGGGTTTGAATATGGATTCTCACTTAAAATTCACTTAAACTGCACGATAGATGTAGCATAGTCTATGTTGGCTTTTATTCGACGTTTCAGTTCAGACTTTTCGGATCCGTTTACCCTAAATTTACTCTATACCTCCCTGGTGCGCTCTGGTTAGACTATGTCGCCGTAATTTGGAGACCTTACTATGCTTACTATATCAATAGAGTTGAGCGAATTCAAAAAAAACGTTCGTTTTGCTCTTCGCTCTTTGCTTTTGTTCACCCTTCCTGCCTCTTCAGGGAGGTTCTGCATTTGTGGAATTACGTACATGCCAACCAGTGTTGCCGCGACATCATGCAAAAATGTATCGTAAAAAAAAAAAACAAAAAATGGATCAAATGTATCACCAATTTTTTTTTAAGTATCAAAGTAACAAGTTACAAAAAATTAAAAAAAAGCTATTTGGTTTCATACAAAATATTAGGGGATCTTCATCAAAAGTGAGAAACTCTTGATAAACTTTAAAAAGTGATCGATTTGTCATTTTGATAAATGAACTATCAAACTTTGTATGGAAATCTATTTAACCAAAGTTTATCACTTTATCAAACGACGTTGGTAAATAAATGTTTAAATTTCAGCAAAATTCAACCCTTACAGGTTTCCAGGAAATCGCTTTTGCTGCGAACTCATAAAAGCAATTGAACACAATGGAGGAGGTAAGAATGAAACGTACCTAGCTTATAAGTTAAATAATAAACACTTTTATGCAATTATTTACCAAGATGCGTTCACGAAAGAATGCGAATAAACTGATAAATTAAGGCAATTTATCCCTTTATCACTTTAGATGAAGACCCCTATTGACAATGTATACTTTTCCAAAACGCATGCGAAAAGTTATCGAAACGCATCGCAGGAGTAATCAGCGCATCTGAAACAAAGTTGATGTTTCGTTTGTTATTGGTTACCATTGGCGTTGAATATTTAAAATATGCAATGTATATGGTTGCAATATGTCGCAACTCTGCATATACAAACAGTTTAAATACCGCAGTATAAAAGTATCCAAACATTGTATTGATACGTCTTGGAAATCAGCCATACTTTCCGCCTTAAACTCGTTGGGAATTATGAAACTACTTTCTGTGTCGACTTTATTTTGACCATGAATACGCCCCGTTATATTCTCAACAGTTTGTAATGAAAGCCATTTTCCCTTTTTTATTGGATCAATTTTAAAACTGGAGCCGCAGAACTACATACATATGTATGAGGCAAGCAAAATAAATTAAAAATGAATGCAGTCAGCTCATCTTATTACATTAAACGAGCAATTCTTATATATATATATATATATATATCTATACGGCTCTAACGATTTTGATGAAATTTTGTACACATATAATGTTTTGGATTTTAAGGTTATCTGAATAGGCCTCGAATAAAGACTGGAATAAGGTCGCCACCTATTCCAAATTAGTTACAAATTAATTAAAATATCACAATATTGGTATCAAAAGGTAAGTATTTTAAAGATCCCTAATTCAAAAATATTTGTAATTCACATATTCACATTTTAATTCACATATTTATTTAATTTTTTGTTAAGAAAAATAGGTAAAATATTTATATTCATGGGTACCAAGAGAAGATTCTTAAATAATGCTTTCCCTATATACAAAATATTACCCCTTGGGATAATAGTGTAAGGTTGCCACTTATTTTCGATTCTGCACAATTTATGTAAAGCATCGCAATGTGGATATGAAATGAAAGGTATTGTTGAGAACTTTGATCAGGAAATATTTTCCATCAGGGTTGCCACACTTCCGTATAGTAGTAAACATTTTTATTTTGTTAATTTTAATCAGCATTTTTTATGTATACACAGTACATATACGCACAAGATATGTCCCATTCATTCCAGAGTATTTCGGAATAGGGTTGCCAGCTAAATTTTGGGGTACGAAATTTACTTAATAGATATCGAAATCTATTTTTTTTTTCAAAATATTTTTTTTAAAGCTGTCCAAATTTTGAAAACTTTAAAGAGTATATGCGCTCCGGCTAATGCTCGGTCACCTGGTACTTATGTATAGCTTGTTTAAAGCATTTTTCTCTAAGCTTATTTGACCCCAAAACGTTTAATATTTTCGATTAAATTTTAAAAGCTGCCACTGCATACATATGTATACATCTCGTATTTTGTAATGTATCAAAATTTGTACTACGCGGGAAATTTAAGTATCACGCGAAATGAGCGAAAAAATAAAGTATCTGTCGAAAAGGTGCATAAACACGTATCACTTTTGATGTAAATGGATCAAAACGGCAACACTGATGACAACCCGATGACCCTAGCCAAAGACCGTCAGTCGTCGAGTGGAGTGGAAGCTCAACTGGCAGTAGTTTCGGCTACGAGCTCTGCCCAAATACTTAAGTCTGGTACCATAGGGGAAAGGAGCCCCCAGAGTATACTAGTGGTTTAACACCCAAATGCGGGTGTTCGATTTGGAGTTGCATTCCATTCGGGTGCCGGACGGCAGATCTGATTCATTACAGGGCGGTGATTAAGGATTTGGATACGCTGCGCCTTTGAGGGTCGTGAGGTCAGGCCGTCGTCGGCAGATACTCATCTAAAACTCCTATTTTCAATACTTTAAAGGAATTCATATCGCTCTCAACAAATTCTTCTGCTCTTGACTTCATCTTACTCAGAAATCCGTTCCAAATCGTTACTGAATGAATTAGTTACTTAATTTGTACCTTTTATTTATATTTCCTTGTAATCTGTATGAAATGAATACTTTCTGGATTATGATTAAAATAAAATTAAATCAAAAGATGAGGATTTTACTAGCCAGCCAGAAGTGTGTCTTAGCTTAACTTTCGTATAACTGTTTATCAGAACTTGAACCAAAGCCGGTTCTTTTATATCTGGAAATGAGATCGCATGAGGTCACATACTATATATAGCCTTAACTTACAATTTAAAGGTCTATTTACTTAAGAACCTACCATTTTCAGCGACCATCCACGCCGTTAGTTTTTCATCTTCAGTTTTATTGGTTCCGTCCCATGGTTGTAATTTAGATTTATTCACGTCGATAGACTTAGGATCAACTCTGAAAAAAGAATTTTCAGTACTTATGCATACATCTGCTTTTTCTACTAGTCACTACGAGTATTTATGTAATATTGAATAGGAATGAAATTCAACAACAATTTTTCTTACTTGAATAAATGTTGTGTTTGTACGATATGGAAATTTGCACATGCTATACCCACAAACTTTTATGTAGGAACAAATTACAAAACATTCAATCCGTGAAATACATACTGTACGTATGTATATGTACTACTTGTGCTACAAATATACACAGTTGCATTTCTTAGAAGGTGTGGCGTTCAAATCAAATCTACTTTAGCCAAATATGTAAGTATACTGGAATTTAGAACAACATTACAAAACTTTACCACTCTTTTCGGATTAAAGAAGTAATATTGATTGAATTACATGTGTGTTGTTAGTAGATAGATGTGTATGAATGTCGTACTCAAATCAAGGGATCAGCAGGAGTTGATCTGCCAGGAATCCAACCAATTTATTTATGTTCGAGTATGTCTGTCAAAAATATATCTATATGTGTAAAAATTACGGTCTTATTAAGTGGACCCAAACTGTATTGTGTTAAATTTTAGTGTTCAATTTTGAAATTACTGCTTATAAGGTCTACTGTTCACTAATCGCTAACTAAATAGATAATTAAATTTACAGATCTATGTATATATGTATGTTTGTACTTTTACTTTTTTGTTATAAAATCTTGTTTTCTACTATATATTTGTTTACCTAATAGGCCAAAATTGGCACTCATCGTCTGTGGGCGGGTCAAATGAATCCTTAGAAATACTAGAACTGTTGCACAAAAGACACATTGAAATCTTTAGACAATGTCACAATAAAGATATGTATCAATAAAAAGCATTTGGCAAGTGACCAATACAACTGTTTAGATGCAATAACTAATAAGTTTGTTTTCATGAAAATTACATTTGAACAAACAATGGCATACATATATATGCACATTGGTACGAGTTTAGACAAAGTAGCAAAGTAAAACATAAAAATAACACCTGGACAATAAACTATTTTCATTAATATATTCTTTGAATAAATTTACATAGATATTTGATCAAACTTAACAAGTTTGTCTAATTAAAGTTTCCAAGCTTTCGAGACATTTTATCGATTAAAAGAATACCTCTAACAGATTTTTTCTTATTCTATACCATTGTTCAATACAAATCTTTCGTCTACTAAATTATATTGAACTAGTGCGAAAAAAAGAATGTAGAAGAGATTTTTGTCAAAAAGAAGGTTGTTTTAAAAAGTGTCCTAAGACTCTGCCAGAAAGTACAATGGTCAGTAAACGTTATCGGGGCTGATTAGAATGGTCTTAAGAAATATAATTATACTAGGCATATTATTTCCACCCTTGAAAAGCCTACAGACCTAGCCAAAGTTTAAAATTTTCATGTATTTTTACTTGTAAATGTAGCCCGAAACCCTACAAATACTCCCTACTAAAATGACCCAATGTGACGCAGCTATCCGGAGGATGATGAGGTGGAATCATCTCAGCACTTCTTAATTCCTATAGAGGAACTTAGCAGCTTTCGAAATTTCATAACGCGTACCCAGTGATTTTCTAACCCCTATTGATTACCTGTTGTACGTTTCAGGATAATTGTATACCTTTCATGAACATGCAACTGATTGTATCTGGGGTTTTACTTTAAAGCTCTTTAATTTGAACGGCTAAAGGCCAGTATGCAGCTCTCAAGAAAACGGTCAAGAAAAAAATTGCCCTTATTTCGAGTGTGTGTCCAAGGAATTTTGACATCTGATACTTCACCAGCCCGTTGTGTTACTCTTTCCTCGAGAAATAATGGAACAGGCATATATGTATTTCTGTTGCAAGCATGGGTTACTTTGTGCTCTTTTTCACAAAAAAACTTTAGAAAATCGTAGTAGAAAGCGTAGCAAATTTCTTAAAAACTGCGTACTGCCTCAAGAAAATTGTACACAAGATTTTTTCTCTGCCATTTCATGTACGTCATTTTATATGGAGTTTTTGCTTTTCTTGAGAGCTGCATACGGGCCTCAACGCCGGACAATTTCGTGAGCTATTTTCTAAATAATCACACAAAGTCTACTGAGAAGATCGTCAAGATCGTTGCTGTATAAGCTATATCTCTTATACCACTGATTGTTCAGATACAAGTTTTTGCTATATGTAGGCAGATAGAACCATTATATTGTGTGACTGGTTTACATATCGAACATATCCAGCCCTAACCGCCAAAATGGCGTAACTGACAAAAAGTAAATTTTTTCAGTAGGCGTTTTTTATTTACACTGCAATTACTGAAGATACTAACCTGAAGGTCAATGAAAAAGTTACGTTTGAAATTAGGTATATAATATAATACAAATTTTTTTTCTGACTCGTAGTTAGTGGTGAGAGCTTAAACCTTTTTTTGCCAGGCTGGACACCGAAAAAGTTAAATACACCGTACTTTAATCAACAACGAAGAATACTCTACCTAACGAATCACGTCTGAAACCAAAGTGAAGACAAGGGGCGAACATATAAGAATTTTTGAAATCTTATAAATATGTAGGTTACATTGTAACTTTCTAAAATGTGTTCTTTTCTTTCTTCCCTGTTCGTATTTTGCTATACTTTTTCTTCCCCTTTTTAATGATTAAGAAGTGTACGAAATTATAACTATTTTAAGCTGAAAAAACTTTCACTCTGGTGTATGTAGTTTTAAATCTGTGCTTTAAAAGCTCTATGACACAAAGTGTGCTTTTTGAACACTTCATTAGAATTAATCGTAGCGCTTTCGACATATGCAATATTTTGATATGAAAGAAAATGGTTTTGAAAGCTAATTTTATTATCCTTCACGGACAAATACTGCCATTGACCCATAATTACTTCTTGACCTTAAAAAGATTGGTCAAATATAGTGTTCTTCCAAAAAAAACATGCAAAATCCACAGGATTTATTCCAAAAAAAATTTCTTTTATGTTTTATTACATTAGTATTATAGATTTTCAGACGAGTAACGCGATTCCACTGTTTAAAAATCGACAAATCTTGAAAATCGACAGATCTTGAATAGCACTACAGCGTACTTGTTATTCGAGTGATATTCAATTGTGAGAAGGATGCACAGCTGCATGCAAATAAAAAAATGGAATCAAAATTGCATTTCTTAAATTGAAATTAAAATTTTGTATCGATTTTTAAACAGTGGAATCGTGTTTCTCGTCTCAAAATCTATAATACTAGTATAATAAAACATACAAAAGCTTTTTTTTGGAATAAATCCGGTGGATTTTGCATGATTTTTTCGAAGAACACTTTTTTCTACAAATTTGTTTAAGGTCAAAAAGTAATTGTGGGTCAATGGAAGTATTTTTCCGTGAAAGTTAATAAACTTAACTTTCAAAACCATTTGGTTTCATGTCAAAATATTGTTTCTATCGAAAGCGCTACGATTAACTCGCTCACTTCTTAATTCCTACAGAGGAACTTAGCAGCTTTCGAAATTTCATAACGCGTACCCAGTGATTTTCTAACCCCTATTGATTACCTGTTGTACGTTTCAGGATAATTGTATACCTTTCATGAACATGCAACTGATTGTATCTGGGGTTTTACTTTAAAGCTCTTTAATTTGAACGGCTAAAGGCCAGTATGCAGCTCTCAAGAAGACGGTTTAACAATTAACTCGCATGGGGTGTTCAAAAAGCACACTGTGTGACATGAACGAACATGTATGTATCTAGGAATTCATACATATGTATGTGTATATTAAGTTTTATGGAAATTGTTGTCTTACTTACGCATTTGTTGAGAGTGAGCCGGTATAACTACCGTTGTTAACTTCAATGCTACTCGGAATCTTCTTCTTACTCTTTTCTGTCAACGAATTCTCGTTCGAGTAACCATTTGGCAAACTGGAGTTACGTTCCAAGTGCGATTGCTGTTGATGTGTTGTGAATGGAACTGTATTCGGGTACTTCGCTGTGTCGCTATCCGAATCAAGTGAAAGATGACCGAATAGATCTTCCAGTAAAATATTTGTTTTTGCATTACGTTGACGTTTCGCTGATGTTTTTATTTTGGAACTGAAAATTATATACAATTATTAGTAGTAATATCTCGACAAATTTAAGCTGATATTCACGATCTTAAATGAATTAGCGACTCCCAAGTAGTCTGCCTACCCTACTCTTTCTACGACCAGTTCAACCAGAGTGGTAGCTCTGTGCTGATGGTTACAGTATATACTTTCAACTGCGTGTACTCAGGTGAAGTTAAGTACATAATATCGTTACTGTTCCCGATTAGTTAAAACCGTAACATGAGCCAAGGTATGCCAGAGTTTTTTTAGTTGACGGGTGATATCGACCTACAAAGGTATCACTACATCCGAATGATTCACACAAACCCATCTCAGCACTATTGTAGGAACAGCAGTACTAACTACTAGAAATATTATAAAATACTATAACCACCAAAGAAAGAGCGCTCCGGAAGACGGATTTGTCCGGTACCATGTCTAAGAATTTTTTGGATTCCGAAAGCTTCACCGTCGGATTGCCCATGGTAGGGAACTATATTGAGGGGATCTTCTACTTTCCTGTGAAAATCACCAGGTCAATATTTCATGCATTAACACCCAGGTCATTCTCTTTGGTCCAACAACTAATCCTGTTTTAACCTTCATGATATCAAACAGAGTTTATGGAAATTTCCTACTTACAACCACCGTAAGGTAGTCAGTATATGCAATGATACTGGAGCCCCGCTTCTTTTCCAAGGCTTGCAGCAGTTCATTAATCACCAAAATCCATAAAAGGAAGACAGCGTTAAGATATTTTCACCCCATCATCCTCTTGACAACTGATGACAAAGGCATCCGGTAAGATTCCCAACTTCACTGCGTTAAGACCAACCACATAGTGTCGACTCAGAACCCCCATTAATAGCTAGCGCTGCGGCTCTGCAAGCATTCGAAGCTCTTTTAACCAACCCGGTCCACCCAAGGCCAGAAGGATCGTGGGATTGCGCATGTCTTAGTTGAAGTCCAGCGCTCGCCGAACTTACATGAGGCCTAACCGTCCAAGAGTGAACCGGAAGAGAACAGAGGCATCCCCAGCTGCTCCATACCAGGTGACAACGTTTCAAGGGCACCTTCCAAAGTCGACAGCTATGCACGCAGTTTTTCGCAATGTGCCTGTGACCCGGCAACCAAGTGAGACTGATTAGGAAGTGCTCCGAATTGGTTGATAGATTTCGAGCGCGCCATTATCGCCTTCCGGGGCCCCGACAGAGTACATGCTATTCCATGCTATAGTGTCCAGCTTTCAAGCAGATTCAAGTTCGTGCTGCGACAATTCTGCGTACAAAATCTACAGCCGTAATGGTCATCATGACGTTTGCGCCAGTGTAAATGTGGTTCTTAATACCCCACTAATTCTGATAAGGCCAATCCGCTGTACGCGTTTCAGTTGCATAGCAATTGAAGCCTTCTCTGACCCGTTCCACCAGACAAGCGCTCCTTATAACAAGATAGGTTTAACTATAGTTTCTTAAAGCCAATGAATAACTTAGGGCGAGAGACCCCATCTCATACCAATAACTCCCCTGCAGCCTTTCTTGCCCTTTCTTTACTATTAGGTTTCCACGACAGCTTCCTATCCAGGATTGACCCTGGCGCAATTTCTATATATATTTTTTTATTTATGTTTGCATTTTTCGCGAACACTTTTATAAACTTACCCTAATATAAGATCGAGTTCGTCATCCTTGTTAAAATCACCGTTCCGCGCCGGCGGTAAAGGTTTTGTGTCACCTCCAACTCGTTCATATTGTTGTTTCAAGCTTGCTTGCTCGTTGTATTCATTTCTTTCCAAAGCAGGCTCAAAAGCATTTCGCATTATCAGATTGCTCGTAGGTGCTTGTTTGTTTGACACCACCTTCGAGAACATATTGTATACTTTGCCATCCGTGCCCAGTGTATCAATATTCACTATACTCGGACGTGACTGGAATAAATAGCCATTGATTTTGGCCGAATTTTTAGCATTCTTCGCAGCGGTCTCAAAGAGTGCATAGTTTCGGTGACCATTGGCGAGATAGATAACACCGGCTTTGATGTTCCCTGCTACGTTGTTGCTGGTGGTGTTAAAGGATACATTTGGCGGCTGTGGCGGATGCAGCTGACCGGTGTTTCGATTCAAATAGATGTCATTTATGGACTCTGTGAAGGTCAGATTTTCTTGCGAACGCTTATAAAGCGTAGAATCACCACCGTTCAGATAGCCGAGATTCGCTGGCGCGAGTGTGCCATTATAGCGAAGGGTGCCACTCTTTATCGAGAGATTATCTTCCATTGGCTCACGCAGTAGTAGATTTGGTGCATTATTCGAGTTATTAGTGAGTATGGTGTTGTTTCTGTGAGAGTTTGTACCAACAGCTGATAACTGCAGCGGCACCGTGGAATGTGTGGCGTCGTTGCCGCCGCCGCCACCGACGACACCATTTAATGCCAAAAAACTGACCTTCGGCATTTGCACTTGATTTGGATTGTGTGAAACTGGATTTGTGCTGCGTTTGGCATGCAAATTGATGTTGTTGTTGTTGGCTCCGCGATTGCTGGTAACAGTCGCATTTAATGCGTTATTGGCATTTACGGTACTAGTGTTGTTGCTGTGTTGCATATTACCCTGTTGCAGTAATTCAGTTACAGCCTGGAGTTTCTCTTGCACCGGAAGCACATTATTCGACAAATTTTGCACCTGCCGTACATTCCGAACAGCATTGGCATTGTTGACGCCATTAGCCGCAACTGCTGCAGCGTATTTGGCCGTAAGTTTTACATTAGCCTTGGCAGCCGCTGTGGGTGAAATACGTTTTAACGCATGAAAGTAGGCATATTTGAGGCTTTGCTGCGCTGTGGGTCGCTTATCCGGATCGTAGTGCAGCATGTCCTCCAGCAAATCTAGCCCCGCTTGACTGCAGCGTGTCACAATTGTGTTGAGCGGTACTTTGATGCATTCCGGATAACGAAAGTGTATGGTGGCAGCGAGCCGGTAGCCCTCGGGCCATTCACTCTGTTTATGTACAATAATAAATGCTATTAATTCCAAAATTTTATTTTATTTTTTTAATGTAAAAAATAACGACCTACCTTGTCCGGAGTTCCTAAAACAGAACAAATTTTAAATAATTGATCCACCTCACTGCTGCCCGGAAATAGTGGTCGAAATGTGTACAGCTCCGCCATAATGCAGCCCATTGCCCATAGATCTATGGAACTAGCATAGTTTGTGGAATGCAGCAGCACCTCTGGCGCTCGATACCTTTTGGAAGACTTTTTTTTTAAGTAACTGTTAAGGAAGGTTAAAAAACACATCTTACCATCTCGTGGAGACATAATCGGTGAATGGTGGTCGCGATCGTATTTCGCGCGCCAAACCAAAATCTGCTATTTTTATTAGCTCTGGTCCGGAGCAAAGTAAATTTTCTGGCTTCAAATCGCGATGAAAGAATCCATGGCGATGCATGAATGCTAACCCGGTGAGTACCTTTTTAAATGAAAAGAAGATAACATAGAATTTTATGAGGATAAAAACTGTATTCTGAGCTTTGAACTGTATTTTGAGCTACGAAGAGTGGCCGCATATAAGCATGGATTTACTTTTGCGTCTTAAAAAACTAGAAACCTTAGTTAATTGTAGAGAGGATGATCGGGTTTTTACTGAGGCTTCCTTATATCTGAAGTAAAACTTCAGCTTTTTTATTCCTCCAAAGTTAAAAAAAAGGCTGAGAACACTAATACGCTATCAAAACTTCCACGACTTATATAAAAGTGGAGCCTTAACCTCGCCTTGAGATAAGATTAAACAGAAAAAATTGCTTAACATCCAAACCATTATGAAACTGCTGAAAATATTGTAAGTCAGGATTAGTTGCAACATTAATCGGCAAATATAGAAAGCTTAAAGGCGGCAACCTCACATACGGGGTTTTGGATTTTCTTGATACGCGGTTTTGTTGTATGTATAATGTTTTTTAGGAAATCTGGATAAAGCAACACAGTCTAAGCAGTAGAAGTTATAGCTGCTATTTCGGAGATCACCACATCTGCAAAGTCAGAAGCGCTAACCACTGAGCTATACACACCTCGTAAACTCTTCCTGCTAATTCATTTCCTTATTCAAAGTACTACCACCAAGTGCAGCTGATTTGCCGCTATTTAAACTTGATAGCGTATATATGTACGGCTCAAAAGCTAGGCGAATACTTGTTCGTGGAACTTGATGATCTTGGGTCCATGTATATCAGAAAAATGAGCAAATACATGACCTGGAGGGGGGCAAATATAAGGGTCCAACGCGTTATCAGACACGGCACAGAGTTGAAACCGTTTAAACCAGTACCGAAGAAGATGAAACAACGAACTTTATGAACATTTTAACGACGTGAACTTAGTTAAAGGTGTAAAAATATATAGATTGCGCCGGCTTGGATATTTAGTATGCATGAATGATGCTGCTCCGGTGAAAAGATCCTTCGACTCTGTACCGAGGCGGACCAACGCATAAAAAAGTGGCGTAAGTTCGCAAAGGTTAGAGGCTATATCGAAGTTCTTTAGTCTAGGTCCTAACCGACATGTTCAAGCCTGGGTTGCAAGGAATGACAGAAATTCGATCCAAAATAAATCATCTTACCACCCTGTCGGAAAAATCAAGCAACACCATTACACAAAGAGGTAAGCCTTCAACATTTAATTTCGCGTAGAAGACTATGAGCTCGAGTAACGAGTTCGCGGAATACTGCAAAATGTTTTGAAACCACATAAAAAAATCTGAAGCCAGTGATCACAATTTTCAGTCAAAATGTGAAACGCAGTTTTAGGATCTGTATTACTTCGGGTTTTGTGAATTTTATTGAAAATTTTAATTGAAATTGGAGCGTCAGAATGAAAAATTTTTATAATTGCAATCCCGACATTTGAGTTGACGAAACCGATGGGCATATGGCCGGAATGAGATTCCATCTTTCACAACATAAAGATTTTAAGACTGCTTTTTGTTACTTTACTTAACCAATCAACTGATAAATTTTTACACCCATGTTGAGAAATTTTCAGTGATAGATTTATCCTCTATTCCCTTGGGACCGGATACATTTTGCATACTTAGCTGGTCTAGACGAATTAGGTTAGTAAATGATTGAGTGTACCCAGAGAAATCTATGTATTTAAAAAGATGGGTCCTATTAGGGTATCAGGCTCTCTAGATAGTATCCAAAAATATTTTCTCTAAAAATCTTATTTAAACAGAACGAAAAACTACACTTTTGATGGCACAACGTCGAAAGTAATTTGTCTCCAAACAAACTTGTACGCCATATTGGGCCTGCCATTTAGAATTTTTCAAAACTGAAATCAGATTCGTAGTCAGCGTTCATGAAAACACCTCAGTAACGAATTTCAGCCGAATTCAATAAATTTTAAGAATTTTCGTCCGCCATATTGGATGTTTTGAAATTTATTGTTATTTCCATTTATCATTAAAAGTCTATCATTTACCCGATTAATTTTCTATTTATGTACAGTGACTTAAACAAGTGTTCACCTGTTGATTTTTTTTTTAATATTTACAATGTTTTTTCAAGTTATATTTTTTTGTTGCTTTTCTATAATATACTTGAACCAAAACCATATAAATTAAAGTTTCAAACTTCATACAAAATTTAAGAAAACTCAACAAATGTTCACTAAAATTTTCGAGCTCTTTGCACTTTTTTCCATCTAAAAATGCATTTCGTATGAAATAAAATACGCAGACCTTTCGTAGCAAAATTTCAAAACAGCAACGCCAGTTTTTATAAATTGCACTTGTTATATAAAAACCACTAAAAAAATATTAAAAATAAACTCGATTTTTTAGACGCTTAAAACTTTCACTTCAATAGACTAATATTGCATACGCTATACAACGGCATATCCAAAAATTATCTAAAGATTCAAATTAAAAAGCGAAAGAACTTATAATATCTGGGTTTGGGCAATAATTTTGAAAGGCCTCAATTTTGGAGGGAAGGATGCGGTGCCTAGGCTAACATGAAATGTCCCATTGTACATATTTATGTAGGTAGATCTTGGCATAAATTGGTTTTACCTGAAACAATATGCTTTTAAGCGTTGGCTCCGGCAAATGCGTATCTCGATCCTTTATCATTTGATACAAGTTCTCTTTCATGTATTCGAACACAAAATAAAGCGTATCATTTTCGCGTATGACTTCCTTTAATTTTACAATATTTGGATGGGAGAGTTTTTTAAGGGACTGCAAGATAAATTTTTTTAAATAATTATAGTAATTTGATTAATAAACAAAAAATCAATTGAAAGACCTTACCTTGACTTCACGCAAATTCATCGCCTCTTCCCAGGAGTAATATTTTCGCTTCATACGTTTAATAGCTACCTTCTCGCCAGTGTCTTTGCGTTGCGCCAACACCACAGTTCCGTAAGTGCCATCACCCAATTGCTGAAGGGTTATATAGCGATTCATATTATTTATGACGGTATCCTCCCGTCACGTTAATCTAAAGCAGCCGCAATTTTCTTTAAATCATTCGAAATTGGAGGTAATGATGCGCAGATGTAGTAGACCGATAAGTGGCATTATGCTGAAATAGGAAGAGAAAATAATTCATTACTTTTGATAGGCATTTAACATTTCGCTACTAAGTAAATTTAAGACGGCAACTCTATTTTTAACAGTCTTACCCAAATGTTCACGTGTTGATTTTTTTTTAAATATTCTCAACGTTTTTCAGGTTTGAATTTTTTTGTTGCTTTTTTATAAAAAAAATTGCCCGAGAGTTTCTAACTTCATAAAAAATTTGGGAAAATTAAATTTCATCAAAATTTCAATATTTTAAAATTGAATCTTTACAACCTTTCTGGGTATGCAGTTTTATAGCCCATACAATTTTAGTCTGATGAAGTGCAAGTATCAACCGGCTAAAAAGTTACGCTAATTTTTAATAATTTTTGGTTTTTGGTGAGGGCTTTTGCGAACGGTCTTCCGCATTTTATTTCATAAGAAATTAATGCATATTTGGTTAAATATTAAAAATCAGTGCGATTTTTATCCGCTTGAAACTTTCACTTCCTTTGACTAAAATTGTATGGACTATAAAACCGCATAAAATTTAGTTTGAAAAACGTTGTGAATATTTAAAAATATCAACACGTGAACACTTATGTTAGTCAGTGTATGTATGTACCTACATTAGGGTGGTCTAAAAATGCATGTGGGAAAAAAGTAAAGTCCGAATTTTAATCCTCTCACCCCTTAGAGTTTCCTATATCGAAAAATATACCCCAGTTTTTTTATTTCCAATTAAAAAAATATTTTGAGGTCGCTCATAGCGCTTTAGTTTGCATGTATTTTTTTCGTACAAATGGTATAGAATTCTTGAAAATAAATATATTTCGTTTGGAAAACTCTGTTTCTCTTGAAGAGACTTCCAATATTTGACCATTTTTTAAAACTAACTATTTTTTATGCGAACTATTTATATTTGGGGGCCTATAAAAAAGGTTAATATTAAAAATTTGCTATTTTTATTGGAAGTCTTCTAAAGCGAAACTGATCGAAAAATATTTATTTTCAAAAATTCTATCCCAGATATTTTACGTTGCCAGGTAGCAAAGCCCTCTATGGTCACACTTTGTACCAAAGATATAAGTGTTTCTCCAGAACCGTTTAAGTCATTAACAAAGTACAACCATAAACGTGTCTTTTTCAAATATTTTAACAGGCGAGTAACTTCCAAAAAACGATTCTCAAGTGGTGTTTTGAGCAGCTTTTTGAGGTTATCTCATAATTTTTGGACCTGTATAATTGGCTGCGGTTATGATCGAGTGGTCTGAGGTGTGCATCACTTTTCCGTAGGACCCTCGTCCGATAAACATTTTAAACTATAGGCCCCTCGACAGGCAAGCAATCCTCCGAGTGTATTTCTGGCTTTCCAGAATCATCCACTATATTCAACTGGTCCCTCGGCATCTAATTACCAATTATTCCAAGTTAGTGCAGAAAGATCTCCTTTGACCAGGCTATGAAAGTTTGGCAGATAACCGTTTCCTTATAAATAGAACGATTATCAATATTGGAGCTCAGTTCTTTAGTGGTTTTGTAAACTTTCTGATAAATGGGTTTTCATTCAGTCATTCAAACTCGACCCTCTAATATTTGGCAGCCAAATTTAAAAGGTTCGGTTGGGTAAGCAATCAGCCAATGCTCGTACGTTAAAGAAACACCAGATCAGTTGAGAACATCGCCGTTATCCGTGAAAGTGTGAAGAGAACCCGAGGCAGTCAATTATTCGACATGTGCAAAAACCCAAAGTTTCGCAGACTCAACACTCAGCTTTGGGCCTGCACCCGTAGAGGACACAACTTTCCCACGAGCTCGAACTTAATGACCATAGATAACGTCGTTTTTTCGATGCCTGGATGCCTGGGAACGTTTGGAACAGGACCCCAAATTGAGCCGACAAAAACGGTGCACAGTGTTCTACATATTTTGCGAAAAATGGACTGAATCAAATACCTCGAGAATGAGAAGACATAGCGAAAAAATTCAGCGGATTTTAAAGCTACCCTGACCTTTAATATGTCCTTTTTTGGCCTAAAACCAGTATGAAATGGACTTTTTTAAAAGTGTTAAAAATATAGTTTTGCTGTTTTTGCATCAGAGGGTTAATTCCCATGGTCGCAAAAACAGAAAAAAAAACGTTTTACATTTTTTAAGCAAAAAAAAATCAAATAATTTACTTTGGAAGTTCCGTTTTGAGCATTACCAGAATAAGAAAAGATAGACCCATTAAAATATATACTTAAATGATCAAAACGTCGAGCTGAGTCGATATAGCCATGCCCGTCTGTCTGTCTGTCTGTCTGTTTGTATGCAATCTAGCCTCTCAGTTTTCATATAGCTCCAATTGTTCAGATATGAGATTTTTCGTTATAACTTCTCCATTTATGCAGCTAGGAACATGAAATTTTGCAATATTTCTTCCACCCATTATCATCAGAAAATTAGAATGAAAATTACAAAGATCGGGTCACTATAACCTATAGCTATTGTTCAGATATAAGATTTTTCGTTATAACTCCTAAATTTAAGTAGCTAGGAAAATGAAATTTTACACTGTTGTCACTCATTAGGCAAAGAATACTTTCAGTGAAAATGGCGAAGATAGGGTCGCTGTAACCTATAGCCTCTATACAACTGATTGTTCATATGGAAGATTTTTTTGCCATAACTACTCCATTTATGCAGCTAGGAACATGAAAATTCGCACCGTTTTCACTTACAGTGAAGTTACAATGATCGGGTCACAATAACATACATGTATCTCCCATACAACTGATTGTTCAGTTATGAGAATTTTCGTTATAACTCCTCCATTTATGCAGCTACGAACATGAAATTTTGCTATACTTCCACCCATTATCAACAGCTTTTTTCGAGCTGCTTTACATATACCAATGTAATCAGAAGGGACATCAATATTTCTGTTTTTCATAGCTCGCTCTATGGTGGAGTGCACACTGTCTGCCTCCATCTGTGTGTGGCCAATTTCAAGAAATTTTTGTTCAATAGTAATATTATGTGTGACTGCTGCATTAAGCAAGACATTACTCATCACACAACTATGATTTTGTTAAATACAAACATCACTATAAAAATTTTTACTGGATTGTCGTTTCCACAAAGAACCTAATTTTCAATAAAGTAAATCGAAATACTTGCAAACTCTTCAGCACCTAATCCACCTTCCACCTCATTCCACAAAAAACAGTAAGCTTTTTGGTTTCTAAGATTGAAAAAAACCAGGTTGTGTCCCTACAACTTTGTACGGTAGTATAAGCTGCTGACTTGAGATTTTGGGGACATTAGTACAGCTTGAAGATCTACGGTGAATACATGGGTTTCTTCACCCGATCTTTGTTATTTTCATTCCTGGCCTCTTCTTTCTTTGTTTGGTGAAGAGTATATTCTTCTTGCGAGAGGTTTCCGACTGAAAACCGTGTACATATATCGCATTGGTCTTTTTTAGGTGCAAACAAGGCCATATTTTTGGCATCAAATGTTTGATAAAAGACCGACGTGGAAAGTGGTCAAACGTTGTTTTTGGTACACCAATCATTAACATAAAAGTCATAAAGCTTCTTTTTTGAACACCACTCTGCCAGAAGATATTTTTTTTAGTATCAGCACGACATTAATGAGACTCCATTGATTGCATAAAATCAAAAAAAAAAAGAATTTAGGCATTGCCTCTCTTCTGTTAAGTGCCGTTTTTCTTGAGCAGTTTTCTTTAAACTGGTTTCTGAAACTAAAAGGTTTTCCACCCAATCACTAACAGTTCGTTGACCAACGTTCAAAGTATTTATGAAAAAAGATTTGCAGACTCGAATATTTTTATTTTCTTTGCTGAGGTAGTACTGTAAGGTTCGACATCTTTTAGATTTGTTGTACACTTTTCTATTTCGACGTCTTACAGTTGGAAACACTTGAATCAAAGTATTCACATAAACCTTTTTTTCATTCCAAGTCATTTGCCAAAATTCTTTAAATATTATTTTTTTTCTATCCCCATCAGTAATTTGTGCACACTTTATAGCGGTATTTTTTTACAGCTACATCTTTCCTTTAATGTACGTGGTTCTTTCATCTTTTCATAATTCCAGCTGCTACCGACTTTTTGTTTTCCCAAATAACATTTAGCTTTTTCTTTACGTTTTTTTATTTCTGATCTTAAACCAACTAGGATTTTCAACACGGTTTCTCTTTTTGCGTCTTTTTGATGTCGAGGGTAACTCGTACGAATCATCGGAATCAGTGTTAAAACCATACGGAACTAATCCTATAACGACGTCGTCCGATTCAATTCCATAATCCTCATTACTATTGTTATTTTTATCAGCAGAATCCATGACAATCTCCTAATTAAATAACCAATTTACCAATGTTTCCCCCGAAATGGGATATATATAATAGTTACCTTCAGTGTTTGAAGTTAAAATAACTTTATAATTCTAGTTTAAGAAACTAAAAACCCGCTTTTACGATGGAGTGAACTAAAACATAAAAAAAAATTTGTAGTAGATGAAAGCCAAAGCGTGGGCTGCTTGTTACTAATTATTCTGAAATTTGCATCGCTAATTACTTGTTAAGGTCGTTTTTAACTCTATCGAAAAAATTTAAAAAAAACTTACCAATGTTTATGCTTTTTTCTTGATTTTTTTGGACTTAGCACATTTGCGTACCACTGCATAACAACAAGTAAGAACGACATTACGGTAACTTTCTTTTTTGGTAATAATGTATTTTGAGTTGTGCTATCTTACTGCATCAAAATCTCAATTTTCATAAAAAGTGGACTTAGCACATTTGCGAACTAAGCCAACGATATATGTATCTCCTCTATCTAAGTATGCTGTGAATATATAACTGTCTTCAAATGCAGTAATCTGTTAAAGTAAAATTTTCAGATGTTCATGAAAGGTGTGAAGCCTACGGCATAGCCGAAAACAGGGCTGCTCTTACTTGTTTTTTATTCAATCAGCCCTTTGATTTTTGTTCCTTTTTATCTAAAAACCGCTTGTG